AAACAGCAAAACACCACCTAATTTCGTGACGAACATAACGTAAAATCAATCACAATAATAGGTTTTCGGGGGCCGAAACGTCCCTTCTGAAATCCTACTAGAAATCCAATTTTGTCCAATAGAAATCTAATTTTAGTCAAATTTGATCTCTAATTTTGATTGCTGCTGCTGCCTCTAATAAAGCGAGAAACCAGCAGCCAGACACCTTTTTTAAAACACAGCCGAGACAGCAAAACACCACCCAATTTCGTGCCGAACATGACGGAAAATCAATCACAATATTAAGTTTTCGGGGGCCGAAACGTCCCTTCTGAAATCCTACTAGAAATCCAATTTTGTCCAATTTTGATCTCTAATTTTGACTGCTGCTGCTACCTATAATAAAGCGAGAAACCAGCAGCCAGACACCTTTTTTAAAACACAGCCGAAACAGCAAAACACCACCTAATTTCGTGCCGAACATAACGCAAAATCAATCACAATAATAGGTTTTCGGGGGCCGAAACGTCCCTTCTGAAATCCTACTAGAAATCCAACTTTGTCCAATAGAAATCTAATTTTAGTCAAATTTGATTGATCGCTAATTTTGATTGCTGCTGCTACCTCTAATAAAGGAAGAAACCAGCAGCCAGACACCTTTTTTAAAACACAGCCGAAACAGCAAAACACCACCCAATTTCGTGCCGAACATGACGGAAAATCAATCACAATATTAGGTTTTCGGGGGCCGAAACGTCCCTTCTGAACTCCTACTAAAAATCCAATTTTGTCCAATTTTGATCTCTAATTTTGACTGCTGCTGCTGCCTATAATAAAGCAAGAAACCAGCAGCCAGACACCTTTTTTAAAACACAGCCGAAACAGCAAAACACAACCTAATTTCCTGCCGAACATGACGCAAAATCAATCACAAGAATAGGTTTTCGGGGGCCGAAACGTCCCTTCTGAAATCCTACTAGAAATCCAACTTTGTCCAATAGAAATCTAATTTTGTCCAATTTGATCTCTAATTTTGATTGCTGCTACTGCCTCTAATAAAGTAAGAAACCAGCAGCCAGACACCTAATTTCGTGCCGAACATGACGCAAAATCAATCACAATAATATACCAATGTTTATAGTTTTCGACCAATGTTTATACCACTGTTTGTTGCTGCTGTTGCCTCTAATAAAGCGAGAAACCAGCAGCCAGACACCTTTTTTAGAACACAGCCGAAACAGCAAAACACCACCCAATTTCGTGCCGAACATGACGGAAAATCAATCACAATATTAAGTTTTCGGGGGCCGAAACGTCCCTTCTGAAATCCTACTAGAATCCAATTTTGTCCAATTTTGATCTCTAATTTTGACTGCTGCTGCTACCTATAATAAAGCAAGAAACCAGCAGCCAGACACCTTTTGTAAAACACAGCCGAAACAGCAAAACACCACCTAATTTCGTGCCGAACATAACGCAAAGTCAATCACAATAATAGGTTTTCGGGGGCCGAAACGTCCCTTCTGAAATCCTACTAGAAATCCAATTTTGTCCAATAGAAATCTAATTTTAGTCAAATTTGATTGATCTCTAATTTTGATTGCTGCTGCTGCCTCTAATAAAGCAAGAAACCAGCAGCCAGACACCTTTTTTAAAACACAGCCGAAACAGCAAAACACCACCCAATTTCGTGCCGAACATGGCGGAAAATCAATCACAATATTAGGTTTTCGGGGGCCGAAACGTCCCTTCTGAACTCCTACTAGAAATCCAATTTTGTCCAATAGAAATCTAATTTTAATCAAATTTGATCTCTAATTTTGATTGCTGCTGCTGCCTCTAATAAAGCGAGAAACCAGCAGCCAGACACCTTTTTTAAAACACAGCCGAAACAGCAAAACACCACCCAATTTCGTGCCGAACATGACGGAAAATCAATCACAATATTAAGTTTTCGGGGGCCGAAACATCCCTTCTGAAATCCTACTAGAAATCCAATTTTGTCAAATTTTGATCTCTAATTTTGACTGCTGCTGCTACCTATAATAAAGCAAGAAACCAGCAGCCAGACACCTTTTTTAAAACACAGCCGAAACAGCAAAACACCACCCAATTTCGTGACGAACATAACGCAAAATCAATCACAATAATAGGTTTTCGGGGGCCGAAACGTCCCTTCTGAAATCCTACTAGAAATCCAACTTTGTCCAATAGAAATCTAATTTTGTCCAATTTGATCTCTAATTTTGATTGTTGCTACTGCCTCTAATAAAGTAAGAAACCAGCAGCCAGACACCTAATTTCGTGCCGAACATGACGCAAAATCAATCACAATAATATACCAATGTTTATAGTTTTCGACCAATGTTTATACCACTGTTTGTTGCTGCTGTTGCCTCTAATAAAGCGAGAAACCAGCAGCCAGACACCTTTTTTAAAACACAGCCGAAACAGCAAAACACCACCCAATTTCGTGCCGAACATGACGGAAAATCAATCACAATATTAAGTTTTCGGGGGCCGAAAATCCTACTAGAAATCCAATTTTGTCCAATTTTGATCTCTAATTTTGACTGCTGCTGCTACCTATAATAAAGCAAGAAACCAGCAGCCAGACACCTTTTGTAAAACACAACTGAAACAGCAAAACACCACCTAATTTCGTGCCGAACATAACGCAAAATCAATCACAATAATAGGTTTTCGGGGGCCGAAACGTCCCTTCTGAAATCCTACTAGAAATCCAATTTTGTCCAATAGAAATCTAATTTTAGTCAAATTTGATTGATCTCTAATTTTGATTGCTGCTGCTGCCTCTAATAAAGCAAGAAGCCAGCAGCCAGACACCTTTTTTAAAACACAGCCGAAACAGCAAAACACCACCCAATTTCGTGCCGAACATGACGGAAAATCAATCACAATATTAGGTTTTCGGGGGCCGAAACGTCCCTTCTGAACTCCTACTAGAAATCCAATTTTGTCCAATCGAAATCTAATTTTAATCAAATTTGATCTCTAATTTTGATTGCTGCTGCTGCCTCTAATAAAGCGAGAAACCAGCAGCCAGACACCTTTTTTAAAACACAGCCGAAACAGCAAAACACCACCCAATTTCGTGCCGAACATGACGGAAAATCAATCACAATATTAAGTTTTCGGGGGCCGAAACGTCCCTTCTGAAATCCTACTAGAAATCCAATTTTGTCCAATTTTGATCTCTAATTTTGACTGCTGCTGCTACCTATAATAAAGCAAGAAACCAGCAGCCAGACACCTTTTTTAAAACACAGCCGAAACAGCAAAACACCACCTAATTTCGTGACGAACATAACGCAAAATCAATCACAATAATAGGTTTTCGGGGGCCGAAACGTCCCTTCTGAAATCCTACTAGAAATCCAATTTTGTCCAATAGAAATCTAATTTTAGTCAAATTTGATCTCTAATTTTGATTGCTGCTGCTGCCTCTAATAAAGCGAGAAACCAGCAGCCAGACACCTTTTTTAAAACACAGCCGAAACAGCAAAACACCACCCAATTTCGTGCCGAACATGACGGAAAATCAATCACAATATTAAGTTTTCGGGGGCCGAAACGTCCCTTCTGAAATCCTACTAGAAATCCAATTTTGTCCAATTTTGATCTCTAATTTTGACTGCTGCTGCTACCTATAATAAAGCAAGAAACCAGCAGCCAGACACCTTTTGTAAAACACAACCGAAACAGCAAAACACCACCTAATTTCGTGCCGAACATAACGCAAAATCAATCACAATAATAGGTTTTCGGGGGCCGAAACGTCCCTTCTGAAATCCTACTAGAAATCCAATTTTGTCCAATAGAAATCTAATTTTAGTCAAATTTGATTGATCGCTAATTTTGATTGCTGCTGCTACCTCTAATAAAGCAAGAAACCAGCAGCCAGACACCTTTTTTAAAACACAGCCGAAACAGCAAAACACCACCCAATTTCGTGCCGAACATGACGGAAAATCAATCACAATATTAGGTTTTCGGGGGCCGAAACGTCCCTTCTGAACTCCTACTAGAAATCCAATTTTATCCAATTTTGATCTCTAATTTTGACTGCTGCTGCTGCCTATAATAAAGCAAGAAACCAGCAGCCAGACACCTTTTTTAAAACACAGCCGAAACAGCAAAACACCACCTAATTTCCTGCCGAACATGACGCAAAATCAATCACAAGAATAGGTTTTCGGGGGCCGAAACGTCCCTTCTGAAATCCTACTAGAAATCCAACTTTGTCCAATAGAAATCTAATTTTGTCCAATTTGATCTCTAATTTTGATTGCTGCTACTGCCTCTAATAAAGTAAGAAACCAGCAGCCAGACACCTAATTTCGTGCCGAACATGACGCAAAATCAATCACAATAATATACCAATGTTTATAGTTTTCGACCAATGTTTATACCACTGTTTGTGCAATGAGACATAGAACCCTCCTGTTGCTCCTGTTGCTGCTGCTGCTCATGGCCACCACTTGAAACGCTGAAACGCCACCTAATTTCGTGCCCAAAACGCTCCAAAATCGAGCCCAAAAAGTGCCTAACGTCCCTTCTGAAATCCTAGGAAAAAAAAGAACTGCCTTTGTGATGATAACCGTCTTGTCAAACACCTTCTATTTCCTCCTGCTGCTGCTGCTGCTCCTGCTCCTGTGACTCCTTCTGTTCAAAAGGCACCTGCCGGATGGGAAAACACCATGGCAGTAGTAGTAGTAGTAGTAGTCCGAAACAAGAGTCAAAAGTATTATTCCCTGGCACGCTCCCCCTTGCGTCTGCCGGGGTCGGCGGATATTGACTGCTGGCTACTGGCTGGGTGCTGCTGTCTTATTCCCTGACGCGCTCCCCCTTGCGCAGCCGGGGTCGGCGGATATATATATATATATAATATGTATCTATACCCCATGATATCCCGATTAATTCCCTTTTGGGTTTGAAAGATCCCTATCTTTCAGGGGTTTTTCTCCGACTTAAAACGTTCCCCAGCGGAGTTGAAAAACAGGTGACGGTGCGCTTCCGGGCTGGGATTCCAGATCTGGTGGTCACAGGGCCCAGGGGATCCCAGGGGTGGGGGGGTTGTGCAATTTTAATGGAAAACCATAGGAAAACCATAGGAAAATGGTGGTTAGTGGGATTTAATGGGATTTAATGAGATCTACCCTCTGGTTATTTAACATAGCCATGGTATAGATGGTCCATTTATAGATGGTTTACCTACTATTACCTACTAAAAATGATGATTTTCCATGGCTATGTTAAATAACCAGATGCTATTTCATGAGTGTTCAATCCTTTTTCTCAGGGGTTTTCAATGTGTTTTTTTCCAACCACTGCTATGAACAGTGACAGATGCTGGTTCGCTTCAAACACATAGTTGATGGACGCTTATTGGGTGAAAACTGTTTGATTGCGCTTGCAAGTGTTGACATCAAGCTGTACCTTGGGACCCGATCCCACATGTTTCTACCTATCCACATATGTTCCACATGAAATTCTTGTTGGGTAATTGCATCACCATTGATTTTTCCGGTTGCGTTGGTTATTTGGGCAGTTACTGAAAGTGGGATACACACCAATCGATATTTACTGAGATGAAGCATTCACACAAGGGGTTGCAGTTGACTATATGCTGGTTGGTGGTTTGGAACATTTTTTATTTTTCCATATACTGGGAATAACCATCCCAACTGACTAATATTTTTCAGAGGGGTAGGTATACCACCAACCAGATATTCCAAGCAAAATCAACCCCCGCCATGAACTTGCAGCTCCCCAAATTTCATGATGTCGAGGTATAGCCTCAGGATTCATAGTTTGATACGAAATGCGTGACTCTATCAATATTATCAATCTATATCCATAGATGACTATATGTATATATATATAATATATATATATTATCATTTGGATTCATTCTCCCTAGACCCTCCGTTTCTACCCAAAGAGATGGTGTTTTACCCCATTAACTGCAAGTAATTACAGTACTTTTAATTTTATCTTTTGTTTTTGGGATGTATTTGGAGGGAGGTAGAAAACGATTATATATATATATTATCATATCCCATGGTAGGTATAGATTATACATTTTCCATCTGGTTGGTGGTTTGGAACGTTTGTTTTTCATTTTTTTTCCATATATTGGGAACAATAATCCCAGTGACTTTCATATTTTTCAGCGGGGTTGACCACCAACCAGCCATGTTTTCTGTCCCAGCCATCTCCATGGGGTTTCCGCCGAGGTCGAAACGGTCCTGGTGGAGGTGGCACACTTCGAAGCCACCGTGCTGACGGTGCGTGTGCGGAGCCCCGTTAAGTGATGGATGCAGCAGTGGGTTTACCTGGGGATTGACCAGGGGTTGGTAAATGTCCCTTTTTGGGGATTTTGAGTCAATCCCCTTCAAATATCTCTTGGAAAAAAAATTCCCCAATACTTGGGTGATGTTCAATTGGGACATTTACCAACCCCGGGATTGACCGAAAATGAAGGTGGCGATTTTTCTTGGGTTTTTTCCCCATGGGAATGTCATGGGGTATTTCATGGGATGATCATGGGATTTTCATGGGATTTATGGTGGGATGATGGTTGTTATCATATGGGATGATCTCATCTGTTGTTATCTGGTTGGTGGTAAAACACAAAACATGTTTTTTTTTGTTTTTTCCATTTCATATTAATGGGATGTCATCCGAAAGCCATTGACGAAGTATTTCCATCATTTTTCAAGATGGTTTTTATTGCACCACCAAGCAGATATTATTGATGACACATGGGATTCAATAGGAATATGAAACCGAAATCTATATGGGATCATGGGATGACAACATGATAACCGTCATGATCACCGTGGCTACGTCTCCACGTAGTAGCTAAAAAGGCAGATGGGATTTTTGTCGCCACCTGTCTGGTTGTTACTATTCAACTGGTTATTACTATTATAGTTCAATATGACTTGTGGGTACTTAGGTCAGCTTGTTGACAGTTGAATAGTAACAGCCAGACAGGCATCGCTCAGCATGGGCAAAGGCATTCACAACCACCATCTTTTGTTGATAATTGTTGATGGCATTCCTCTTCATTCTTGTGATCCATCCAAGTTTCTCCAAGTTTTTCTGCTTATCCGCATTGTTTGATGACATCCCCATGTTTCTGCACTGTACACCAATTCTGCTGGCTGAATACAATATTGCGCAGTCTTACCATCCTGTTCTGCTACTTCCATCCTATGATTCCTGGTGTCTTCCACTCCCAAACTTGCGTCAAAGAAAAACCGATCAAATGCCGGAAAATCGATGAACATCCCTATTTTCACTGGTTGGTGGTTTGGAACATTTTTTATTTTCCATTTCATATATGGGATGTTATCCTTCCCATTGACGAACTCATATTTTTCAGAGGGGTAGGTCAACCACCAAGCAGTTCAGGATGAAAACATGTGGGTGTGTCTGAAAATAGTGTACCCCTAAACCCAATGGTTAATGATCATTATCCCTATTAAATGGCTATTTCATTGGGAATATATCCTATTTTCAGACAAACCCATGTGACCCCGATGGATTTCCTTCACCACTTCAGGGCCTTGGCACCTTCCCGGGCGTCGTCTTGGACTTACCGCGCAAGAATGAGGTCAGCAACAGCCGGCGTCGTCCATTTCGGGTGTGACAAGTTGGAAACCTGAGAAATACCCTCTGGTAATTCAACATAGATATTGAAAATGGCCATAGAAATAGTGGATTTACCCATTGAAAATGGTGATTTTCCATAGTTATGTGTCAGTTTCCCAGAGGGTAGTGGGTGAAACATCATGGAACTAACTTTTGATGTGTTTTTTTCCTCTTGTCTCTAGGATTTTCCGGGAAAAATGAACGGAGATCTGGTTGGAAGGCACCATTGTTTTCCGGGATCGTTGTCCGACGCCGATTTCGAAGTCTATGTTAACTGGATGTGGTAAACATATTTCCATTTTTATGGTAAAAATATTTCCATTTTTATGGTAAAATATTTCCATTTTTATGGTAAAAAAACTCATTTAGTCTATTTCTATGTTTCTAAGTCTATGTTAACTAAGTCTTTATTAACTGGTCTGAAGATATTTCCCCTTTTTAATAGCCAGATTAGCCACACTCAAAAACAACATTTCTGTCTCACTCCTTGGTGAAGATCGGGTACTGCTTGGGTTTTATGGATGGCCCAAGGAAGGGGGTATACCACATTTTCAGACACCCAACTCTCCGAATGTGTTGATTATATAATATTATATATATAGATATAGATATATATAGATATAGATAATTAATATAGATATATAGATATATGATATAAATATAGATAGATAGATAGATAGATAGATAGATAATATAGATATAGATATAATCCTCTTTATTGTATCCATGATATCCTCATGTGAACTGCATCATGATGTTTTTTTTTTTTTAATCACGGTATCCCGCATTTTCCGACAGACCGACCCGACTGGGCTTCCCCCTTTTAAACTTGAGAAATACCTCGGATGATCGCTCGGGGTCGATAGTTTTCAGACACACCCATTTTCATATTCTGGGTATTTGCTGGTTATAACGGTTTACATATTCCAGCAAGCCCCAAAAAGATAGAGAACAGTCAAATCCAACTACTGTATATAAACTCTTGGCAAATCACACTTTTCTGCATCTTGTATATATATATATATGTGTATATACACATATTATATATATATATATCTATACTGTACAAAATCACATATATATATACATATGTATATATATATATACATACATTGTCATATATAATCTCAGTAATGTATATATCATTATATATATATATAGATGTCCTATATTAGATATGGATATCCCAGATCTCAGCGGTGAAATGCCAGGCGGAGCACAAGCTGCAACTGGATGCAGCAGCCAAGCGCTTGCAGTGGGGGCTCCTGGGGGCCCTGTTCCAGTCGTGGCAGTGGGATCAGTTGTAGGTACCCTCTGGTGGGCTGGGATTCAATGGGGATTAGCAACTGGGGATTACCATAGGAAAATGGAGGTTTTAATGGGAAAACCAGAGGAAAACCATAGGAAAATGGAAGTTTACCCTCTGGTAAACATACAAAAACTATGGAAAATCACCATTTTCAATGGGTAAATCCGCTATTTCTATGGCCGTTTTCAATAGCAAACTGTTAAATTTCCAGAGGGTACCTATTAATGGTGATTGATGGTGATTAATGGTGATCAATGGTAATTGCCTATTTTTCAATGGGTTTGCGAACTTGAAAATGGTGATTTATTAGTGATTTATGGATGATTTACCTATTGAACATTGTGATTTATAGATGATAACATAGCTATTGAAACTGGCCATAGAAATTAGTTGATTTTCCCATTAAAAATTGTGATTTTCCATGGTTATGTTAACGTTTACCAGAGGGTAGTCTTGAAGCTAAGAACATATGGGGTGTTCCATAAATGGAGATACCCAGCTGGATGGTAATGGGATAATAGGAATGGGAATATAATGGGATATTTTATGTTTTTTTTCATCTGGTAAACGTTTACAGTTCGCGAACTGGAAAATCACCATCTTTAAGTTCGGTAAATCACCTTTTCTATGTGCCATTTTCAATAGCAAACTGTTAAATTTCCAGAGGGTACAGGATAACAGCATCATAAATGGATATGGGATACACATAAAGGCTGTAGAATGGATTGGAAAGTGATGGAAATTGTTATGACAAACCGATACAAACCGCAGTTTTTTCCATTCCACTTGCAAAATGGCATGCCTGTGTTTTGTCTGAAAACAGGGCAGACCCCAACTTATTTCCGTTATTTTCCAATCATCCATCGCAATTGAGGGTAGACCATTTCCAGAAAAAAAAAACATGTTGCCATTTTCATCAATTGTCAATATTTAGTTTCAGGTGCCAAAACAACATGCACCAAGGCTCTTTTCAGCAGGTAGCACTGTTGGACATTGATACCCTCTAGTTTACATCTCAAAATAGACAAAACCCTACACTTTAGTAACCGCCACGAAGTCACGAAGATAGACAGCAATTGTCCACTTAAAATATTGGATTTTACGTTTCTATCTTTTTGAGGCTTGCTTTCTCTTAGTTGGGATGTAAGTAACAACAGGCTAAGTCGTTGCGGCGCTGGAGTCGTGGAAGGAAGCCTAGATCCTTTCTCTATTGGAAGTATGAAGCATGGGAAATACTGTAATGTGGTTAAAACAATAATAAACCAGCCATTTGGGAAAGGTCTATACCACCTATTTATGGTGAAATTGGGGATGGTTTACTATTGTTTTACCCACATTATTCCATTGCCATGTCTATCTACAGAAAGTTACCACGCAATTCTGCTGGATACCCCATTTCGACCTGCAAACAATTCTTGGAAGTTCTGAAAGCACGGGTTCCCCTACTGGTTTGTGTTGAACATGAGATGACTCACGACATGGGGATCAATCACTGCCGGTTTTTCAGGTGCTCCAAATTGGCAGCAGAGTGAAAATGTCCATGAGCTGAACATGAATCTACTAGAAATTGCTCGATTTCTTTCCATGCGACATCAAGCACCATCAACTTTTCATGTTTTCTCAGGTCCCTTGCGCCATCCGGGTGACACGTCGCGGCAAAGCTTTCTCTGAGGATGCTGCCCGTGGTGTCGTCGAGTGCATCTGCCGATGAGCGTAGCGAAGCTTTGGACACTCAGGTTGGAGCGTGGTGACCAGTACCGATAGAAATTGGAGGTACCCTCTGGTAAACTAACATAGCTATTGAAAATGGCCATGTATAGTGAGTTTTCCCATAAAAAAATGGTGATTTTCAATAGTTTTGTAAACGTTTACCAGGCCGGGTAACCATTTTGATCCATTTTTGTTGAGGTTGTTTTTGGAACATCATCCCAAAATCTGGCTTGAAACATGGTACAGTGCCTCTAGTCTAGGTGTTTTTTTTTTAACCTTGCTGATCGTAAGTCCCAGTTTATGAGGTTATCCCATATATTCCCACAGAAAAGTGGGTGACAGTCACGATGGCTTCCCAAAACGCGCCATTTCATCACTTTTTCGACATGAACATAGCCATAGAATTGGAGTATCCCTATTGTTCACCAAACCTTATATATATATAATTATATACATATATATATACATGTATATTGTAAATATATGTATACATATATGTATATATATATATCATCCGGCAATCAAACGTGGCTTGCTGGAAAACCATCCATTTAGCTGGATGATTTTCCCATGCAAAAAAAACTTCCATGGCCAGTTCGGGGATTTCCCATTGCCATGTTTGAAATCCTGCACCACCAATCCAGGGTGGTTGAAAGCCTATAAACAATGGGATAAACTAACATAACTAGGGAAAATCACCATTTTTAATGGGAAAATCCACTAGAAATGGTCATTTTCAATAGCTATGTTAAATTACCAGAGGGTATCAACTGGTGCAGGATTTCGCAACCATCCACTCCAGGATCATCACAGCCCAACATCCCCAGACGACTCTCCCTGTGTTGAGTCGTTGTGAATTTCCACCAATCAGGATCGTTCCTAGTCTCACATCTACGATTCAATAAGATTGGCCATGGGGAGTTGTACTACGGCTATTCCTAGCCAGCCAAACACTGATTAGAAAAGGGGGATATACATTGGCCAAGGAAACGGCTAAACCCGCCAGTTTTTTGATATCAACCAGCTAGATGCAGGGACACCTACAGTAATTATACACCAAATATTTTTAATCTATGGGCCATCAGTTTTTGTATATCCAACATTTGGCAATACCGCTTTCTCTAAAATGAACATTTTTATGGATATCCAAAGTGAATGGATATTTGTGTGCATATATATTTATAATATTTATTATATTATATGATATATATATATATATATTCCAAAAATATGCCCAAATCTCCATGTTGGCTTGTTCTTTTAACTCCCCAAAATCGGCTTCGATCGCCAGTTGTTCCCTTCCAAACCTGGCAGTGCTGTCGGCCGGGGCCCCCGAAAGACCTCCAGCGACGTCCTGCGTGGCAGTGGCTACGGTGGGTTGGGATTCAATGGAGATTAGCAACTGGGGATTACCATAGGAAAATGGAGGTTTTAATGGGAAAACCAGAGGAACACCATAGGAAAATGGAAGTTTACCCTCTGGTAAACATACAAAAACTATGGAAAATCACCATTTTCAATGGGTAAATCCACTATTTCTATGGCCATTTTCAATAGCAAGCTGTTAAATTACCAGAGGGTACCTATTGATTGATGGTGATTAATGGTGATCAATGGTAATTACCTATTTTTCAATGGGTTTGCGAACTTGAAAATGGTGATTTATTAGTGATTTATGGATGATTTACCTATTGAACATGGTGATTTATAGATGATTTACCTATTGAAAATGGCCATAGAAATAGTTGATTTATCTAATAAAAACACGGTGATTTTCCATAGCTATGTTAGTTTACCAGAGGGTAGCCTCTAGTAAACTAACAGTTTGCTATGCAAAATCACCACTTTATAAAGGGCAGTGAATCAATGATTCAATGTTATAAATGGGCCAATAGCATCCAATAGCAAACTGTTAAATTACCGGAGGGTAATGGAGATCAATGGGACGATATCTTGGTATAATAATGGGCTCATTTGTATGGACATGGATTGATCTGGGTAAATGATAGTGACCGAAGCCTGCAACCGAAGCCTGGAATGATGGGAATTGGATTCGGAGAAGTATTCCACTATGACCGAACTTTTCAGGTTAGTGAATTAGTGTAATTCACCCAGATGAATACTGTACTCGTAGTTAGAAGTACCATAAACCATAGTGAAAGAAGAGTTATGTTCTCCAGTTTGGCCATCATTTGGGGGCATTAAAAATACCCAGGTTGATTGGTTATGAAATGGGAGTTATACTACCTGGCTATTGGGGATCATGAACTAACTAAGCGTAACTAACTAACCCATTGTTTTTATATAAGGGAAACCATTTTCAACCAAGCAGCATTTCCTGAGATCGGACAGCAAGTTAGTTTTAATGGCTCAAAATTGAGGCCGCAGGTAGTAATTGGAGGAGCATGTCATCCCAAGTTATTTAAGAAAATGGGATTCGAAGCAAGAAACATTGGTATTTCGTTCTTTTTGGAAGAGGATCATCAAACTGTTCATTCAAAGTCATAGCAGAAAGTTGGTTTGGGATGGTTTTGGTATGTTTTGCTATTTGATCAACAGATGTAGATTTTTTTCCACTGTTGAACAACTGATCTGGACCTCCCAAAAACATCCAAACATGATCTTCCACGTCTTTTTAAACATTTCATCGTATTCAAAAACGGGGGTTTCCATAAATGGGGGATCTCCAAAAATGGTTGGTTTATAATGGAAAATCCCATCTATAAATGGATGATTTATTAGGGCGACTCCCATTTCAGGAGTTTCCTCCAATTGGTTTCAGTATTTGAGCAGCACCCCTTCTGAAAGGTCTCGCCAAGGCTGAGATCCCAAGTTTTGCAGTACAGTCATCATGTAGTTATGTTATGTTATATGTTATATATTAACTATATGTTATATGTTATATGTTATAGGTTACATGTTATAGGCATAGGTTATATGTTATCTTTATTTCTGACATCTGTGGTTTTTGACAGGTGATGACACAACTTTTTTCATTCACCTGTGAAAATCCCAAGTGCGCTTTTACGGGTGAATAGCTCATTGACAGCCCTTTTTTTGTGTCCATATACTCATTGCTTACAGTGACCTCGTTTTGAGATATAGAAATATGGTTCCATTCTTCCGGCCTGGAAATGCGATTGGGACTTAACCTGAGTTAGCTTTCCAATCTTAGGTACCTTTTGGTGAACACAAAAAAACAACTCGCTGCTTACTGGAACTCCAGTTGTGTGTGGTGAGTTCTTGAGCTGATAAACCGATACATGGTGAATGCGACTGGGAAACTGATCGGTAAATGGTTGGCTTCCACATATTTTCGTCGCCACAAATAGAGATGTTTTCTATATAAATCATCATAAATCACATCATTTCATGATTTTGCTAAATATTTTATACGTTTATGTTTAAACCACATATTCTGATTGTTAATCTTTGTTTTTTCTGGCCGTTGGTGGCCGTTGGGACATTTAAGGGAAGTTGGGACACTCTGAGGCTTCGGGCGTTCCAAGACGGCCAGTGGTGTCACTGACGTGGTGGTCGGGGACCCGGACGGGGGAACCTCGGGGACCTAAAAAAGGTGGTGGTGCCCCCGGTCGAGTGTGCGATCAGTTGGGGCAACAAGAACTCCAATTTCACTATGGGTTTTTGTTGGCGATATATCTATAATTATCTATGGTGTCTATATGTATCTATAGTTAATATGGGCTTTCTGAAGCAATTGATATAAGTGTCCGAAAATTCTGGTAACTTGATTTTTTTGCCCGTAAAAAAGGGGCCACATATTCCTTCTAGGACTTGCCAATGTTTGCAATGTTTGCCAGGTAAAGATGGGATAGAATGGGATTTAACATGGACAATTTGATGATTATGGGATGATGAAAATCCTGGGTTTGTTTAAGGTGATTGTTTATTTCCCAATGGAAAATCCATCATGTGGGGAATCTATTTTTTTCGTGAATACCATCTGGTTATGACATGTTATGACATTCACAGTTCGCCATGGAAAATCCACCCATGCTATCAAGAACGCTATGGCCCATCTATTTCGATCTATGGGCCATGGCTCTGTTCCATGGCTATTTTCCATGGGGAACACCGAATCAGAACATCCGAAAGGGTTTTTTACTGCCGGAAGATCAAAAAAAAAATTGGGTGTCAGACCTGAAAAAACGACAAATCCCAACATATCTCAACATATCTCTAGCCAATATGGGGGACAATTATGATACGGATGGGATATCCGATATGCCATAATCTGAGTATATGATAGTAGATGTATAATCATAAATGACCCAGTCATTTTTCGGTAAATATACCAGCACCATGGTTCGCATGTCAGGGCATGTCGCAATCCTTCTCCATCCTTTTTTGAAGAATCGTGAAAATTATTTGGTTGGTGGTGACTGGAACCATGGATTTTTGAATGAATTTCCCATATTTATTAATTGGGAAGTTCATCATCCCAACTGACGAACTCCATGATTTTTCAGAGGGGTAGGTATGCCACCCAACCAGTTATAGTAAACCACATTATGGCATAATGGTTGGGATTAACCACTGGTCAACGAAAGATTTCATAACCATTGGGATTAATTCTCACCAACAGAACGTGTTTTTATACTCTTAAATCCCATTGGGATGAATTCTACAATTAAAATCCCAGCAAAAATTCAACTATAATTATTATACAATAAGTCCGACTGGGTTTACAACCCAGAACAAAAACACAGCCAACTACCAACCTTCGGAGCATCCGCAATTGCGATGGAACCGGTGCTCATCGGAGCCTTTTTCAAGGGCTCAAAGACCCATCTTTCCTTACCATCTGGTTATTTAACATAGCCATGGAAAATCACCATTTTTAATAGGTAAACCCAGTTGTTCACCATCTATAAATGGGCCATTTTCCATGGCTAGGTTAGTCATAACCAGATGGTATAAGCGATAAATGACCCCTTTGTCCAGCCGTTCTCGGTCGCAAGGAACCCACCCTCTCGGCTCGGTCGCAGCATCCGGAAGTGCCGGCCATGGAGGCAGGGCGAGCTCTTCGAAAACGGTGACGTGTTGCCTCGACCTGGTGATTTTTTCATGGTGATTTCAGATTTCAGATATTTGAGCAGTGATTTCATAGTGACTTAGTGGTTTCATGGAATTTTTCATGGCAAAGATGGTGATCTTTTTTTGGAGTAGACCGTGAGGATATGATCCAAAAACGGTTGGCTACGGATGAGTATCCATGGGTGGTGATCAGTATTGATTCAAGGCTTGGAGTTGGATGTTCGTTAAAACCGCCCTCCAATTTTCTTTCACAGTTTGCAAAGTGGAAAATGTGCATTTGCCTAGTAAAGATGGCGAAGTATAGATGATGTGCCTTATGAATCATCTATAAATAGCTTGAACATGGATGAACATGGCCTATGAGTAGATGATTTGCCGATTGATGGTGAGTTTCCATAAGTCATGTTAAACTTCCAGAGGGTAAAAATCGTGGCGAATTGTGACCCAACCATTAGACGGTTCAATGCCAGACATAACCAAGTATATATACAGTAGTGAGAATTGATACCATTCCCCTTTTTGACCAACCATCCATCGCCAAATTATGCCAACTTGCTGGAAAGATCGCTAGTTTGGTGGCGATATGATGAGACCCAAACACTGAACCTGGAAAGAAGAGGGTGCCTTCAATTGGTTGGGGAAAAAAGTCATGAGTAGGTCAACATGCCAGGTGCAGCGCCCGAGACGCATCGATTTTTAGGATGTTCGTAACTTTTTGCGACAGAACACATCTCCAAAATTTGGGCGCCCAAATTTTGGGTATCCAACTGGCACCAACAAAAAATGGGACGATTTTGACATGGTTTTGGTGACCCATCGACATCCCATGGCCAGACCCACGACGACACGTCCGTTGCGGCTCGGTGGCCAAGGTGTGGCTATGGAGGCTACTATAAATGGGCCATCGGAAAATTGTTAACTTACTACTAGATTCTAATAGATTCTATATAGATTGTTGGATTAACTTACTATAGATTTAAATAGACTATAGATTCTAATAGATTGGATTCTGATTCTGGACCCAACTGAAAATGGCCATGCAGGGCTGTGGAGATTTGGGATAGCCCCCTTTTTCCTTCGGTCTTTCAAACTGAGACAAACAGAGACAAACAGAACTATGGAAAATCACCATGAAAAATGAAAATCAATGAAAATCAACTATAATGCGCCGCGCCATTTTCCACGGCCATATTAGTTTACTGGAGGGTACATAAGTTCCACATAAGTTCCATTTGAGTCATTATTGGTGCAAATCTCAAAAGCCAAATATTTATCAATGCACGTTTTCTGGGCCCTTGGTTGCTGCAGCCATGTGTGAGGTGCAGGCAATACCCATCCATCGATACTGAGCAGATCCAACTTTGAGTCAAATTCAATCACAATCTTTGAATACCCTCTGGTAAACATACAAAAAACGGAGAAAATCACCATTTTTAATGGCTAAATCCACTATAAATGGCAATTTTCAATAGCTATGTTAGTTTGCCAGAGGGTATCTTTGATATTAAAATCATGCCAAAACCATCCAAAACCACGTTTTTCCTAGAAACAGTTCTTCAATCCCATTGATTTTCGTAGTTCTTCGAAGATTTTTCGGCGATGCACCGAGGATTTTTCGCAGGACTTTGATCTGGAATTCGAAGTGGATCGACACTACCTCTGCGAGGCTCGTCCGGCTACAGGGGCACATATGTTTTTTTAAATGGATATCACCATGATACATCTAGATTTGGACTCTATATATATATATGGTTATATAGGAATATATACTCTTAGGGTCGCTAGTCTGGCTGCTTCAATAGGGGGCTGTTTCGGCTTGTAGTGGCACCAATAAAATCACAATTGAATCCAAGAATCTCTTTGCAAGGGAGGTCGCAGAATGAGCTGGAAAAAACTGTAGGATTTCTAGGGAGACAATCAGGAATCGGCTTGTTTTTTAGCCCGCAAGAATCTGGTTCAAGGCTTGACAAGTTGCCAAATCTAAAAACGATCTGGGAAAACTATGGAATAAGTTTGGAAAAACATGGATAAAAAGACCATGAGGGGTGGGGACAAAACTGGGAATGATCTGGGAAAACCATGGGAAGATGTTGGGAAGAACTTGGGAAAACTAAAGGAAAAAGGTGGGAAAAACTTGGGAAAACTGGGGGGCGGGGGCAAAACTGGGAATGATCTGGGAAAGATGTGGGCACGATCTGGGAAGGACCCAGGATCCAGGAGTGATGTGGGAATATTTCGGAAATACAATGGGAACAAGTATGGGCATGGCTGGAGGAAGGTAAGAGCATTTGTTAAACAAGCAAACACCTGGTCTAAATGTTTTGCCATGGGATGGCTTGTCATATTCTGACTATGTAGGCACCATCAGGGATTTTCATGGGATTTGAAAGGGAATCGCCTGGGACACAGCAAGGATTGTTAAAGGAGTTGTTTGGGAAAGGAATGATGTGCCAAATTTGGCTGCCTCAATTAAAGCTGCCCCTCATCAGAGCAGCCCAGGTAATGATCAAATGATATAGTATCTTTCGATATTATATTATTTGGACATATATTATCTTTTATAGGGGTACATAAATTTGTTTTGCTACTGGCAGAAAGTACCTTTCGATGCGGGGAAACTCAGCCAGCGTCATCTCTTCCGATCACATCACCATGCACGGTGACCTACGGTAACATTTGAATATATGGAGGGCGGGCCAGACCGCGAGGCCCCGGAGGTAGTATGAAATACCAGTTCGTATATTTAAAAGTCTTTATATTTAAATGTAGTTATCGTATATATATATAATTATATATATATATATATTATATCTTTATACTTATGCATACTTTTTTCCATATACTTTTGTACCATCATAGATAATTACATATTACTTTGCATGTTTTTTTCTTGGCATTTACATGAGGTGATCAATCGATTTACTGTCAACATCCTACCCCTCTCCATCATCAAATCATCAGCACATCAGCCCAGAAACTCGCAGGTCTTGTTGAAGAGCGGAGGACAGACTCCAGCACCGCTGGAAGCTTGGGGTGTAATCATATCGTGCATGGAATGGAAAAGTGGAACAAGCTGAATGATATTTGGATGATTCTTGGATATTTTTTGGGATGATGTCTGAGTCCTGTGCTGGCTCAAAAGTAATCCAACAAACATATCCATCATTAAACATCATGATGTACTGGCTCATGTTTGGTGATTTTTGCCAACGCAACAGAAAGATTTGGGGTGCTGAACGGTATCCCCAAGGTCTTGACTGGTTTAGTGTGGTCACCCACCCCCCCATGATCTACCTAGTCTTGCATTTTATATGGGAATTACAATGTTATTTACAATGTTTTTTGCATATATATATATATTTATATGTATTATATATAAAGCATAACCGGAAGAACAACACATACATGTGTTTAACAAGTTTTTGTTGCCTAGAGAATGTTGCTACAGGCGCCATATCACATCTGAATTACAACACTAGAAACGATGGTTAGGATTGGGGGCAATTGTGGCAGAAAGGCCCAACATTTCAAATGGGTGAATTGCCATACCCTCTGGTAAACGTTTACATGACTATGACTATGGAAAATCACCATTTTTAATGGGAAAACTCACTATAAATGGCAATGTTCAATAGCTATGTTAAATTACCAGAGGGCAACTCAGCCGGGAGCACATTCCTGTTACCCTTGGGTAATTCAATATAGCGATTGACAATCTCCCATTTAGTTCGATGATTTATGCATTGTTTTAATGGCGATTTTCCAGTTGGCAAACTCAGAAATTACCGGAGAGTAAAGCCCATTTCCCATAATCTTGCCATAATTTATCACCATGTTGGTTAAGTCAGCATGTTAGTCAGGCTTTCACGTTAAATGCCCATCTAATTGGAGGATCTTCTCTGATTTTCCCAAATTTTGGTGAAATCTCAGTGAAATCCCCGATGTTTTCATCATCTCAGGTCGCACCGACCGCCCATCAGTCCACAGAGGACAGCTTTTTGGGCAGGTTTTTGCGCAAAAAACGGGCAACACACGCCGTATGAAACCAGCAAACATGGAATTTGAGCATTAAAAATAGAGGTATCACATGGTATCACTGTATAAATAAATAAGATTTCACAGAAATGTCATGGGAAATGACAGGTTCACCCTCTGGTTGATTTTTTTTCAGAGTTTGCGAAGTGGAATATCACCACGAACGTCGTAGGTGAATCATCGAACGAAATTTGGGCCATGGCTTCCAACACGCGAAGCACCCAAACATCATCAAACATCAGGAGTCTTAAAGAAGAAACATGGGAGAAATTGGTTTATGACAGTCGACCATCCAATCATACCACCCCCAAATGGTCAAAATTACCAAAGTTAGGGGGTAAAATATTTAAAACAGCATTTTTATGGGTTCCAAGCGCGGAGGGTCTAGGTGGGGATTATAATTGGGATATGCATCAAATGATTCAGATTTGGCTGAGCATCGACCAAGAATTGGCAGATAAGTTTTTCCAGAAAGATTGAAGCACCATGAACCGTCTTGGGACGTAACATTTGAGAATGTCCCTTGGTTTAATGTTCCAAAGTTAATGTTAACATACAAACCAACAGATGAATAGTTTGCTTTCATTGAGATTGTCCCTTGGGTAATGAGTGTTACCCTCTGGTTATGACTAACAGTTCGCCATGGAAAATCCACCCATTTTTAAGAACGGTAAACCATCTATAAATGGACTATTTTCCATGACTATGTTAGTCATAACCAGAGGGTAATGTGTTTGGAAAGTCCATGCTCCCAAGATGGAAATCAGTTTCTGATGGAAAACATGGAGCTTTGTCCAAGCTAAAAAGGGGAAGTACGACGTAGAGCTGAAGCGAACTGAGGCGGAATATTCCAATCTTGGATTTTACTCTCTGGTGATTTCACTTCGCGAACTGGAATCGATGCATCGCCACCTTCCATGGCTACGTTAGTCATAACCAGAGGGTAACATCTCTGAAAAAATCTCAATATCGAGTACAGCTCAAGGATGAGCCGGATATTTTGCAGGATTACCCCCTGGGTAGTCCAACCAGTGGAAAATGAGCCCTATGTGAATGACATATGCCTTTGAAAGGCTTGTCCATTGCCATGTTGTTTTCATAGCTCAGTAGCTTACATACTTAAATAGGATAAACGTCCCTACTGTTTGGTTTCAAAATGCAACCGTTTAGTTTCAAAAGAATACGGTTCCCTACTTACCCTCTGGTAATTTAACATAGCTATGGAACATCACCATTTTTATTGGAAAACTCACTATTAATGGCCATTTTCAATAGCTTTTTGTATGTTTACCAGAGGCTACCCAAAAAGGGCGCATGAAAACTATAGTTATATCTGCCATAAACCATAGGCAAATGGGAGTTATATATGCACCAACTTAGCTAACGAACTGGGGCACCACCTTGCTACTTAAATATGACAAGTTTCATGACGATCGGACACGTTTCGTCCAGGCGCAAGATTGGTATCGACACGTCACCGGTCACAGCAGCGTGCCCGACGTCATGGGACCATGGGACCAACGGAAAACTCTGGATGTACCGATGTACCTCCGTGAAATACCCAAAAAATGCCAGTTTTTTACCTCCAAATTTCAGGAGCTTTACCATTTTCTGGGCGTATTTGCAGTGTCTATATGTAGTATATATATATAATATATATATATATATAAAGCCGAACCATCCAAACCCCAAAGCATTGCGAATGTGAGAGATTGAAACCGCCCCAAACTACTGGAGGCTTCAATTCTGACTAGCCATGGCCAGATCAACCAGTGATTTATTCTGCTTTTGGGATGGGGGGCTCAACATGGTGACAAATCATCAAATCATATTTGATCCATGTTGTATGATGTTTCCAAAGATCTCCCTGTGAAAAAAAGCCATTAGCTATCGTTATATCATGTTATATCCCCCTAATCAACTCTAGTTATCCAACTTTTTTCAGTCAACTTAGCTATCGTTTGGGATTCGTTCGCACCTTGTGGAGTCTCTGCGTGGTGAAGCGCAGGTATTACGTTTGTGACTTTGGTCACATCGCTTTGGGCCAGATGAGCTCGGGCAGCCAAGGAGGAGACTTGAGGAGACTGGCAGTGAGTAACCCCCCCAAAGAAAGAAAGGTAAAATCCTGCAAAGCAGTGATCAGGATGAGGTACGGTTCTATCTTTTGGTGAACATCCCCGAGTTTTAAAGTCTCTCAAGTTCTTGATGGAGTTGGGTAGTTGTTGCCATATGAGAACAGTTCTTCCCTATGTCATCTTTGTGTCAACCCAAAGCAACTTTGCAGCAACGGACCATCCAACAGTAGATCTTGAGGCACGCGGAAGATTGTGATCCACAACTGCTGCTCCGAATCCGTGGGGAATCTCAATGGTTGATCTGATGGACATGTTCGGACATCCCCTTTTGAAAGGATTGAAATAGATTTCACCTATCAGCCTATCAGATATAATATATATATAATATAATATATATAATAATATATATATATATATATTACCCATAGGATCCATGGTGCTGGTATATTAATGCTAACATTTGATGGGGTTTTTGTTGATGGGATCCATGGCACACCATATATGGCAGCACCATGGATCCGTTATGGGTTATAAGCCTGATTAATGTGGTGAAGTCTGCCAGCCAGGTACGATGTAATCACAGGGCATCACTTGTCTTCCAAACATATCTATAAAATCATGACACATCTAACCTTCTGGAAAATCATTGGAAAATTCCTATGAGCATTATGAATCCCTATATGAATCCCTATGATTCCTATGGGTTTTTAGTGGGTCATCCGGTCATCCATCGACTTTTTTTGGGATGGGGGACTTTCCAGCGAGTTCAAATGTAGGTCTCCCTCTATTTGGACAAGAAGCTGCTGAGAGAGAACGGATTCCTGGCTCGGAACCTCGATGGGACCCGATGGCTGAGAGGAGGAAATCGGATCGATGGATCGTTTGGATCGAAAGGAGCATCCCTTAAATAGACATCATCAGTATACCCGGCCTGGTAAACATACAAAAAACATACAAAAAACTATGGAACATGGACCATTAGTTCGTGAATTTTCACATGAAAAATTGTGATTTTCCATAGTTGTGTTAGTTTACCAGAGGGTAAGATTCGCCATACATCAACCACAAACCAGTGTTACATAGTTTTACGGTTTATCACCGGTTTATCTATGTTTATCTGGGATGTCGACACACAAATTTCAGCAGCTTCGATGCTAACTTCAGTCAGATTGTCTCGGTGGGTGCCGTTTCATCAATGGCTGTACCTAAATTTGAGGTACCTACCATATATAAGGCCTATTTTTCAGGCCCAAATTTCAGGGAATATCCCCACAATTTCTATGGCCTGAAAAATGGTACAGATTTTCTCCATTTTAGGATCCTGAAATTCCTATTGATTATATAAACTTTAAGCACCCACAGAGCCGTAAGTCACTGGTCATTTGGAGTACTGAAGCATCACCTATGATTTTTTTTGGGGCTGAAGCCACAGCCATGTAATTATGTTGTTGTTGTTGTTGCTGTTGCTGTTGCTGCTGCTGCTGTTGGTGTTGTTGTTGTTGTTGTTTTTTTTTTTCCCCCCGAAAACAGAGCGCCCTTAAATCCATTGGTCAGTCGTTATTTTTGCTATGAACATTGCGATTTTGGGGATACAAACACCCCATTTTCAGACACACCCGCCTATCAGATCGTCTTCTTTATTGATTATATAATATTATATACTGTATATTATCTAAAATCATAACTATACTATACATATAATATATATATATATCCCATATGATATACCCATGATATCTCAGGTTTTGATTGTTCGCAGCCTTATTAAAACGTCCCATGGGTTTCCAGACACGGCATGGCGCCTCGATGCCATCAAGGTGGAGCCTGATAGCATCAAGCCGTTGGCGGTGGGAAAGAACTGCATGTTGCAGGCCGAACGGCGGAAGCCCTGGAGCTTCCCCTGGATCCAACGGAAGAATCATGGGAAAATCCAGAGAAAAAGCTGGGAAAAGATGGGAAAAGCTACGAAATAATGAAGGTTTATGAAGGTTTTCCGAAAGGAAAATCATCCTAATTTAATAAATGAAGGTTTTCATATGGACTTTCCATCATGTTTGATTGCTGGAGGAGACTGATAGCTGGATCCAGATAGCCACAATAGGACTGATAGTACTGATAGTACTGATAGTGAACAAAAACACATCTTTGATGACTGGTTGGTGGTGACTGGAACCATGGACTTTTATGACTTTCCATATCAATTGGGAATGTCATCATCCCAACTGACGAAGTCCATCATTTTTCAATGGGGTAGTATACCACCAACCAGTTATAGTAAACCACATTATGTATCATTATGGCAGAATGGTTGGGATTAACGACTGGTCAACTAAAGATTTCATAACCATTGGGATCTTATATTTATACCATCAGATCAACATTTATGAATCGAAACTCAAGATTTACCCTCTGGTTATTTAACATAGCCATGGAAAATGGCCCATTTATAGATGATTTTCCCATTAAAACCTCCATTTATAAGGGATTTTCCATGGCTATGTTAAATAACCAGATGGTAAATCCTATCGTATTGGTGAACGCACCAGGACCCAATTGATGTCTCAATTTTTAACCTGCGATATGTATACCATGATGTCCCAACGACGAAATATGGTCCATGTTCCCACGTAAATTTGGTATACCAATGACTTGAAAACATCTCCCCGTGATATATGTTCATTAGAGTGTTTGAAACTAATTGCATCTCATTGCTATTGTATCCAAGTTTTATATTATATTTCATATTGTACATACCATCATTAATATTCAACACCCCCAAAAGAAACCCACCGTTTAGTAAGGAATTTCCACATTCCATTTACTCCATTTGGACCATTTTTAGATCCATGGTCCATGGGGTTGTTTCATGTGGGTTTGCGGGATGCCCACGGTTTCATCCTCCCGTGAAAAAACTCAAACTAAATGGAGTTTCGAATGGAACAATGATCTATAAATGGGCCGCTGTCCATGTCTATGTCAGTTTACTGGAGGGTACTGTATATAACATTAAAAAATATAAAGTAACCACAGTAAAAAAAGGGGAAGCCACATTCCAACATATCCAAACTTATAGGGGGTAGTTACCATGGTTACATCTATAATTCCAACTGCAACCCCCAAGTAGTCAATGATGCATTTGTATATCGCTATTATATCCCCTAAATATCACCAAGAATTACCTTTTCCCGTGGCCTGAAGCGTAAGTTTCCGCTTCACCCAACATCTATTATAATACTAGTGTCCATCATTTTTAGGTGATAGCCCTTACAAATTCATCAACAATTCCCCTCATATTCCATAAATCCATTCTAGTTCACTAAAGGTTATAAATCCATTATATCCCCATTATATTCTCATTATATCCCGATTATATCACGATTAATATCAAACATGTGATTGCTATCCAGAAACCACTTAAGATGCCCTGAAAGTTGGCAGGTCTCGGCCTGCCGCGCACGCGATGAAGCTGAAGGTTCCCGGTATGTTCCGGCAATGGGATGGCTGAGATTCAGAAGAGTAGGTTTTTTTTGGTCCCAGTTGGTTAGCTCAGTAGTTGCTACCTTCCCAACTATCAGGGTGTTTGATCCACTGCATTTAGATTTGCGTGTTCGTCGAGTGACTTCTCAGAAAGGCAGAATGGAAAATGGTTAGCTCAGTTGGTGACTATAGTTGAACTAACAGGAAGCTCACGGGAATATTATCAATGGGAGTTAGTTTCTGGCAATTTTTCAAACAGTTGGCTAAAGAATTCATCTATGAGCCATTTAACATAGCAAACTCTTCAATTATCCGTGGGTTTTTGCTGGTTGTGGGGGTGAATTCCAAGGGTCGTAGGTATAGATCGGATTTTCTGACGCAACTTAAAACTGGAGGGCCACCTGGAAGGTACATAATTATGGCTGACCTTAGTGTTGCAGATGAAGTGTGGTTTTTATTTTTCGAATTCTTCTGTTGTCAGGTAACTTTTTGATCTTTTTGGGGGGCTTAAGATATGGTTTAAGATTTTGTGACCAACAAAAAGTAATGTACTGCCATAAATCTGCTTAACGGAAAGGACGCAAGTGTATATCCAGGAAAATTACACATTCAACCGCATTCAACCACTATTAGGATTCCAAGCGACGGAAAATTTTCACGGACTTTGCCCACTGAACAAGTCGGCGCATTTGTCAAAATGGGGATGGGTCAAAACCCTGGTACCTAGTGAACCCCAAAATAGCTGGTAAATGGATGTTCATCCCACTAAAATGTATCTATAGGTATTGACCCATACCCAAATAGACTGTAATTCCGAGGCGGATTCATTCATGAACTTTGATGGATATGAAACAAATGGTATAGAGATTCATTCATGGTCATTCATGGGAATGAGTATGTATGAAAATGAATATAAGACGCCCAAAAAAGGTTGTTCCTCTGGATGAACTTTGGTTGGCTAAGTAAATGGGTTCTGGATTCCTGTGTGGCTCTCTACGAATGGGGAAGGAAAAAACTCATAATCCACGGTTCTTGGCCGTATCGGTATTTGTATGATCAGCCAATATTATCGACGGAAAGAAATACCACTTCTTCGATCGGTTGCTCTTTTAGGCTAGGGGATCTTGTCAAAGCCACAGACTTGTCTGAACGCTAGGACCGCTACTAGGAAGGTATGAACAGCAGGTTGTTTTCAGCTAGCAGTCTCCTGATCTTTGACATTACACCTACAGTTTTTTATTTGGCTGGCGAAGACAAGACAAAAAGAAGCGGAACACCCTGACCGCGTTGGCATGGAGGATTCCTTAGCTGCTTGGTTTCCTACAAACTTTCCGCGAATTTGATTCCTTTTCCCGTCGGGAGAGTCAAAGTTCTGAGACTGGTTACGACCGCCTCACACGTCCTGGGTCGAAAGCCATTTGGCGGAATCCATGTTTCAGTGCCTCGACACAATCTGTCAGCCTTCACTCACACAAGTACTACAAGTGTACCCAGATTTAGGCACACTGTCGCCTCGACTGCTGCAACAGTGACTCCTAGTACCTAGTCATTTTGCCAGCTGTACTCCTACATACTGCTACTATGTTTTTTCATTTTTTTGTTACTGCTGCGGCTGCATGTGCTATTTGATGGTATTGTGAAGTATTTATAGTCTTCATGGCCACATCACATGTTTGATTTTGCAGCTCCGATGAATCGTATAGACTCGATAAATTTCGGCACTACCAACATTGAAATCATGTGTAAAATTCGAGGCCCAGTTTTTATGGCTCCCATTTGAAAACCCGAAAAAATTGCAAATCACACACTGATGACCTGTCTGAAAGTTTCCGGGAAGGCTACGGAGGATTCACTTCTTCAACCCGGTCCATTTTTATCAGAACACATTACAACAAGCGGGTAGAAATTCCTACCCACCCTAATTAACAGTATACAACTTTGTCTGCGTTCCTTCCAGGGTAAGCAAAACATGATTTCAAAATATTTCAAATAGTTGTGGTTAATATACATATTATATAATATTATATACATAATTATATACCATAACCCTGAAAGTCAAATGGCTCATTTTACCCACCATAGTAGTATAGTAGTGATCATCCACACTCTCAAATGGTAATCCAATGACTCAGCCGAAAATTTTCTGGCGAATCTTTAACTTTATTCAAACATACTGGCGAGTGCCTCAGAGATAATCCTAGGTCCTACTGTGGATGGTGATGAAATCCACCAACATGTTTCAAGCATTGTAAGGTGCTGCAAAATTCCGCAACTATGACCTCGCCCACTATGTCAGATTTAAGTGAAATGGGATGAATTATCCAGATATAATATGATATAATCCATCCCCCTGGACTTCACATTAAACAGCAAACGAAACCATGCTTTAGTATATATATATCTACTAAAGCATGGTTTCGTTTGCTGTTTAACGTGAAGATATATATATATACATATATACATATACATATATATATATATTCACCACATTCCATTGGGACCATGGGGGCATGGGGGTGTTTAATACTGGGATCTGGACCATTTCCCTCCCAGGCACCTTGGAACTGGAGTGGAACCTCCCCGTGAGGCGGACTGCAGGATGGTGCCCCCAAACGTGATGTGAATGTTGGTTTATAAACCCCATGAAAACTATAGTTATGATGTTATATTTGCCATAAACCATAGTTATATATGGGAGTTATTTGCACCAACTTAGCTAACGAACTGGGGCACCACCCCCGGTGCGAGCTGGATTTTTTGAGCGCTTTGCTGGGAGCTGAAGAGGGCGAGTTTTTCAGCAACAGAGATGATTCAAGACGACGGTTACCCTCTTGTAATGTAACAGTTTGCTATTGAAAATGACCATAGAAATAGTGGATTTTCCCATTGAAAATGGTGGATCTTTCCATAGTTATGTAAACGTTTACCAGAGGGTATGCATTGAGGAACGAGAGCAATATGGTAAACACCAACACATCCCACACATAAACATACATAAACAATCTCGAATAACTTACCAGAATTGGGTGAGATTGGAATCCCCAATTGGACATTGATGAGTGGGCTAGGCTCGGCTAAAATCTTGTAATCTGGTAACCTGGTAATTTCACTTAAAAATTAGTTTTCTCTAAGAGGTATGCTATGATTCGGAATATGTCGAAATTATCACATCCCATGTTTTGTGGAAAAAATAGTGAACCACGTACTTCTTTGAGGTTTAGTTTCATGATCCCAAAATGAGAAAATAACTGGTTGGTGGTTTGGAACATTTTTTATTTTTCCATAATATATGGGAATGTCATCATCCCAACTGACGAAGTCCATCCTTTTTCAGAGGGTAGGTATACCACCAACCAGCAAAACCATGCCATAAATCTGGGAAATCATAGAAAATCATGGGAACATATGGGAAAATACACTATTTACATGGCTCTATTCTTGGGAGGTCTCGGTTTACGGTTTACCCCGGCCCAGAATTGCACCTTCAGTTTGGGCATGGCCAATTCTGGCTACCCAAAGCTGCTTGATCTTCCCCAACGGGTTCAGGATCATCCATTCCAATCGACGATACAACAGGTCCCAAGGTTCTCAAAGTGCTCTTTTCGAAACTATTGAGATTGGTTTTCAGGCAAAAAACTATGTGGATCGCAGAGTCTCTTGAATGCAGCAATCGGCTGGAAGTGGCTCAGTTTCCACTTCCAGCCGACCCCAGGCTGACTGTTTCAGAAAACACCAGTGGTCAAAAGAAACAAAACCACGGCCCAGGGAGAAAATGACTTGATCAACGGTCCATAATGACGCAGTGTACCCTCTGGTAAACTAACATAACTATGGAAAATCACCATTTTAATGGGAACATCCACTATAAATAGCCATTTTCAATAGCTATGTTAAATTTCCAGAGGGTACATTTCAATGTCAACAGATGAGAAGGAATCGACTCTGGGCACAGTCCACATCGCGCTCTATCTGCGCTGCAGATGGCATCATCATGACCACGTCGAGATCTGAAACGGCGCAGAGTCTGAAAAGATCGACGATTCGCTGTTTCTCCGCGCTGTTTGAGACCTCGGCGTGCAAGAACGTGGAGAGAGACTCACTCCCTAATTTTTGTTGCAGGTCGAGGGTTTGAAGATGCATTTTTTGCGGTCGAGCATGGAAGAGTATTTGAAGGCATTAATTATGCTGCATGGGCCAGCTGGACTGATGGGCAAGGTGAGGGCATTTTGTACTGAATTCACTTGGGTTGGACATTCAGACAATATTGAAGTCGCCAGCCCAAAGCCTGCTCCGCCAAGATGATGAAAGGTGTGAAACAACATAATCTATTCGTTGCAACATAATCTTTTGCAGTCTTTTTTGAAAGGATTGAAACTGAATTACTTTATATATATATTATATTACTTGAACATGAACAAAGGATGGGAGTGTGAACTTGTGAACTCATTTTCGTTCTTTCCCGTTGCCATGTCCCGTTGCCATGTCCCGTTTTGCTTGGTGTCGATCCATGTGGACCTAGCGCCAGGGGTGGGCCCAACTACAAAGTACAGCTCTTGGCAGATTTCGTCCTCCCGGATTTGGTCTTGTCTCATGAGTTGCTTGGCTGGAGAATTCTGTCCGAGGTTTGCTGGATGCAGGGTCGTAAGCCGTAAAACCATATATATCTTTTTTCACATTGTTAAGCCAGAAGCATATCAGGTATAGACAATTCATTAGATATGACAGGATATGCTTTAAGTATCTTTATCTGATTGGTGGTTTGGGAATGTCATATAAATTTTCCAGTCATTAATTATTATTAATTGGGACTTTGGATTATTCTTTATTTTTCCATAGACATGATAATCCAAATTGGGAATAAAGATTTCCAATAATTCTATGGATTATTAATTTGGATGACATTCCCAATTAATGACTGGTTACATTTGGATTATTTTTCCAGTCATTAATTGGGAATGTCATCATCCCAGTCCGTCGAGACGTCCAGTCTCCGAGTCCGATGAGTTTCCAAAAGTCCGATGCCCATTTGAGGAAAGCACATTTCTCGTTGCCATGACACCTTATAGGAAGTTAAGTAACAAGCTATGGGAAGCTAGAAATTATAGACTCATAAGTTAGGGATACATAAAAATATTATAATAACATTGTAAAACCACCTGGTTGGTGGTTGAGAACATTTGGATTATTTTCCATTTCATATATGGATAATCCTTCCCATTGACGAACAACTATTTTTCAAGATGGTTAAAACCACCAACCAGCCACACGTATCAATATTTATAGAGATAGACAATGATCGACAGGTAACCATCGTTTTTTGTCGCGGTCCCATCTCACTTAAGAGGTCGATCGACTTCGGGCGCCTCATCGTGGGTTCGGGTGACCCAGATCGACGGCAGATCCATCGCCGGTTGATGGGTTGGATGTGCACCCGACGGGAGGATGATGGTGATTTAATGGTGATATATGGTGATTTATTCAGGGAATATCAATGTAAGATACTATAAGTAACAAAAACCAAGATAGTTGATTACCCTCTGACATACAGAAAACTATGGAAAGATCCACCATTTTTGAATGGGAACATCAACGATTTCGACTGGGCCATTTTCAATAGCTACGTACTAAATTACCAGAGGGTATTCATGGTGATTTAATGGTGATTCATAGGGAATTCACATGAATTCACCAACTTCAATGGGGGTATTAAATGGTATTAATAGGAAATAGCCTCTGGCAATTCAACATAGCTAAGGAAAATGGGCCATAGAAACAGTTGATTTACCTATTAGACATATTAAACATGGTGTTTTTCCATAGCAAACTGTTAGTCAGTACCGAAGTGATATATCGATGAATCTACCCAAAATGATCAAAGAAAGCTGATGATTTTTGTACTGAAATGACCAGTTTTTGTGGATATAGTGCTCACTGATCCCAAGATATCCACAAAAACTTTCTTTGGATTGCTGACACCAGGTTTCTTAACCAGGTTTCTTAACCCACTTATTTTCTTGCAATCCCGCGGCCCGCCTTGGAGCCTGTGAGGTCGCAAGAAGCGCGTGACCATCGAGCTGCAAAATACCAAGGCGGTACCTGTGGAATGGGTCTGGCAGCTCAGTGGCCAATGATAATCCATGGGGTTTTTGTGGTCGGACATGATCCAGAAATGGCTGGATTTTCTATAAGATAATCTTAGTTTATTGGATATTTATAACAGGAAGTTCAACTCTAGATATATCATACATATATATATATATATACATATATATATATTTATCAAGTGATTCAGCGGCGGCTATGTGGAGACTACTTGACCCCTTTACTGGAGGGCATTCGGGGATCACTTGTCCCAGCCAGGTCATTTGGCAGCCCGGTATGTAGCCCGAAAGAGATCACCTCCAAGTACCCATAAAAATGGTGGTTTTACCCCATAGTTCTAGTACGTTTACATAACTATGGGGGTACTATGGTTCGTTTTACATTTTCCATAGTTATAGTACTTATAGTTTTACCATTTCTTCGGGGTATTTGGAGGTCTAGGTATATCATGGTATATCTATAGGTACCCGGCCTGGTAAACGGGCTAACATAACGAACTGGAAAGATCCACCATGCTTTTTTCATAGGTAAATCAACGATTTCTATATATGGGCCATGTTCAAGTTCGCAAACTGTAAACGTTTACCAGGCCGGGTATTAATATGTTCTGAGGCTTACTGTACGGCTTAGCGAGCCAATCCCAACCAAATTCTCCAGCTGAGATCGCCAGTGAGATATGCCTTGCTTGGCTTGGCTTGGATCAAAACAAGCCATTTTTCTGGCGAAAATGGTGGCTCCATGCACCTCATAAAAAAAAGAGTCATTGACTGTGGATGGACACCTGTGAACCAAACACGAAGCGGCGGGGCCGCGGGACCTGTCCGCAACTTCGCAACGGGCAGCTGAGTCAGTTGCGTCGGTAAGATGCTGATGGCGTTCAGAAAACATGGTGAAGAAATGTGAAGAAAGACTTCTCACATTGCCGAAAATTCGGGATACCCCAAGAATGGATTGTCAACAATTAGAGCTCCTAATTCCTAAGCAACATGGATATTCAAGAACATGACCAAGAGCCACTACTGTACAGGACTTGTACAGGTTGATCAGTTAATGTTGGTAAAGCAATACTAAGCCACCCATATGTTGATGGTTAATACCACCCATTTATGGTAAAATTGGGGATGGTAAACACGATTGTTTTACTAACATCAACCATGAATTATTCCATGAATATCCAATAGATATTCCCTAAATAGTCCATAAGTATCCCATATTCCAAAATTTTTATTTAAGCGCTTACGCGCGACAGCCGGCCAGGGGCCCAACTATGTTGGCCCATCTTGTGGCTATATGTTGGCCTATGTTGGCGTATGTTGGCCTATCTTGCGGGCAACGTGGGCCCATCTTGTGGCTATGTTGGCCTATGTTGGCCTCATGTTGACCCATGTGGAGCCAAAAGATCCGAAAAATGGGAACAGCAAAAAAACGCTGTAAAACGCAGGATATTTTGATGGTCGGCGGCCTATCTTGGGGCTATGTTGGCCCATCTTGGGGCTATGGTGGCCTATCTTGAGGGCAATGTGGGCCCATCTTGCGGCTATGTTGGCCCATCTTGCGGCTATGTTGGCCCATCTTGGGGCTATGTTGGCCCATCTTGGGGCTATGTTGGCCCATCTTGGGGGCTATGTTGGCCCATGTTGGGGCTATGTTGGCCCATCTTGAGGCCTATGTTGGCCCATGTTGACCCATCTTAAACCACAAGATCCGAAAAATTGGAAAACATGCGAAGAGCACAAAACACCGTAAAACAGGACGTTTTTTGGCGGGGGGGAGTGGTCGGCGGCAGGGGGCGCGGCCCCTCTCTCCTACGGAGAGGAGAGAACTGCCGTACGGCAAGGACACGGCCAGGGGGCCCCTGGCCGGATTTATGAGGCTTACGCCTGACAGCCGGCCAGGGGACCCAAACCATGGGAGCCGCGGGCGGCGGATTGAAGGGTAGTGTTTCTTGCGGGGGGTTGGGTGTAGTCAGGTGATTGAATCGTTGGTGTTGGGTGCTTGAGATGATGGTGTTGGGGTGTGGTTGGTGTGGTTGTAGTTGGTTGTTGCTGTGGAGGTTGGGGTTGGTTGTTGTTGAAGTTGGTGGTTGTTGATGCGTGTCGGTGGTGGAGGTGGTGGGGGTCGGCGGTGGAGGATGGGTGGTCGGTGGTGGTAGCGGGTGTGGTTGGTGGTGTTGTGGTTGTGGTGGTTGTTGTTGTTGTTGTTGTTGTTGTTGTTGTTGTTGTTGTGGTTGTTGTTGTTGTTGTTGTTGTTGTTGTTGTTGTTGTTGTTGGTTTGGGGTTGGTGGGTTGGAGTTGGTCAGTGGTGGTTTGTGCCGTTGGGTTTGGACTTGGTGGGTTGGGGTTGGTCGGTCGCGGTGTGTGCTGGCAGGTATAGAAGTGGTGGGTTGGGGTAGGTCAGTGGTGGATTGTACTGTGGGGTTGGTGGGGTTGGTCAGCGGTAGTTTGTGCGTTTGAGTTTGGGGTTGGTGGGTTGGGATTGGTCGGTCGTGGTTTGCGCTTGCAGGTATGGCATGGGTGGGTTGGGGTAGGCAGTGGTGGTTTGTGCTGTGGGGTTGGTGGGTTGGGGTTGGTCGGTCGTAGTTTGTGCGTCAGGGTTTGGGGTGGGTTGGGATTGGTCATTGGTGGTGTGTGCGTTTGGGTTTGGGGTTGGTGGGTTGGGGTAGGTCGGTTGGAGTTTGCGCTGGAGGGTTTGGGGTTGGTGGGTTGAGATAGTCAGTGGTGGGTTGTGCTTTTGGGTTTGGGGTTGGTGGGTTGGGGTTGGTTGGTCGAGGGTTGTGCTGGAAGGTTTGGGGTTGGTGGTGAGTTGAGATGGTCAGTGGTGGGTTGTGCTTGGTGGGTTGGGGTTGGTTGGTCGAGGGTTGTGCTGGAAGGTTTGGGGTTGGTCGGTCGTGGTTAGTGCTTGCACGCATGGAATTGATTGGTTGGGGTAGGGCCCATCGCAATCGTTGTCGAGTCCTGTGTGCAAGCGAGGTTGGGGTTGGCCGGTCGGCGTTTGGGCTGTCGGGTTTGGGGTTTATGCTTTCGAGTTGGTAGGTCGGTGTTGGGTGTGGCTGGTTTGCGAAGTAAGCTGGTTGCAGGTCCCGTCGCAGTCGTTTTCGCGTCCTGTGTGCAAGCGGGGTAGGGGTTGGCCGGTCGGGGTTTGTGCGGTCGGGTTTGGGGTTTGTGCTTTCGAGTTGGTAGGTCGGTGGTGGGTGTTGCTGGTTTGTGAAGTAAGATGGTTGCGGCTCTGGGTTCTGCTTGGGGTTCGTGCGGTCGGGTTTGGGGTTTGTGCTTTCGAGTTGGTAGGTCGGTGTTGGGTGTTGCTGGTTTGTGAAGTAAGATGGTTGCGGCTCTGGGTTGTGCTTTACGGTTTCGAGTTGGTAGGTCGGTGTTGGGTGTTGCTGGTTTGTGAAGTAAGATGGTTGCGGCTCTGGGTTGTGCTTTACGGTTTGGGGTTGGTGGGTCGGTGTTGCTGGTCGGTTGTTTGTGGTCTGTGGGCATATCTTGAGGCTAGGTTGGCACATCTTGGGGGCTATGTCGCCCCAGCTTGAGGTTATGTCGGCCCATGTTGGGGCTATGTTGGCCCATCTTGGGGCCATGTTGGCCCATCTTGGAGCTATGATGGCCCATCTTGGGGCTATCTTGACCCATCTTGGGCGCTATGTTGGCCCATCTTGGGGCTATGTTGGCCCATCTTGGGGCTATGTTGGCCCATCTTGCGGCCTATGTTGGCCCATGTTGACCCATCTTGAACCACAAGATCCAAAAAATGGGAAAAAGTGGGAAGAGAACAAAACACCGTAAAACGCAGGGGTTTTTGGCGGGGGGGAGAGGTCGGCGGCAGGGGCGGCGGCCCCTCTCTCCTACGGAGAGGAGAGAATCGCCTTCGGCAAGGACACGGCCAGGGGGCCCCTGGCCGGATTTAAGCGCTTACGCGCGACAGCCGGCCAGGGGCCCAACTATGTTGGCCCATCGTGTGGCTATATGTTGGCCTATGTTGGCGTATGTTGGCCTATCTTGCGGGCAACGTGGGCCCATCTTGTGGCTATGTTGGCCTATGTTTGCCTCATGTTGGCCCATGTTGAGCCAAAAGATCCGAAAAATGGGAGCAACAAAAAAACGCTGTAAAACGCAGGATATTTTGATGGTCGGCGGCCTATCTTGGGGCTATGTTGGCCCATCTTGGGGCTATGTTGGCCCATCTTGAGGGCAATGTGGGCCCATCTTGGGGCTATGTTGGCCCATCTTGGGGCTATGTTGGCCCATCTTTTGGCTATGTTGGCCCATCTTGGGGGCTATGTTGGCCCATCTTGAGGCCTATGTTGGCCCATCTTGAGGCCTATGTTGGCCCAGGTTGACCCATCTTGAGCCAGAAGATCCGAAAAGTGACAAAAAGTGGGAAGAGCACAAAACACCGTAAAACGCGGGACTTTTTGGCCCTACCGGGTGGTCGGCGGCTGGGGCGGCGGCCCCTCTCTCCTACGGAGAGGAGAGAAACGCCGTACGGCAAGGACACGGCCAGGGGGCCCCTGGCCGGATTTAAGCGCTTACGCGCGACAGCCGGCCAGGGGCCCAACTATGTTGGCCCATCTTGTGGCTATATGTTGGCCTATGTTGGCGTATGTTGGCCTATCTTGCGGGCAACGTGGGCCCATCTTGTGGCTATGTTGGCCTATGTTGGCCTCATGTTGACCCATGTGGAGCCAAAAGATCCGAAAAATGGGAACAGCAAAAAAACGCTGTAAAACGCAGGATATTTTGATGGTCGGCGGCCTATCTTGGGGCTATGTTGGCCCATCTTGGGGCTATGGTGGCCTATCTTGAGGGCAATGTGGGCCCATCTTGCGGCTATGTTGGCCCATCTTGCGGCTATGTTGGCCCAGTTTGGGGCTAGGTTGGCCCATCTTGGGGCTATGTTGGCCCATCTTGGGGGCTATGTTGGCCCATCTTGGGGCTATGTTGCCCCATCTTGCGGCCTATGTTGGCCCATGTTGACCCATCTTGAGCCACAAGATCCGAAAAATGGGAAAAAATTGGAAGAGCACAAAACACCGTAAAACGCGGGGGTTTTTGGCCCTACCGGGTGGTCGGCGGCAGGGGCGGCGGCCCCTCTCTCCTACGGAGAGGAGAGAAACGCCTTCGGCAATGCCACGGCCAGGGGGCCCCTGGCCGGATTTAAGGGCTGCCGCCCCTGCCGCCGACCCCGGAAAAGTGAAGAAGCCGAGGGAGGTCCACGACCTCGATTCTGTGGCTATTGGCTGCTGGCTGCTACTGGCGCTGGCTGCTAGCTACTGGCTATGTGCACCTTTTGCGTGCTCTTGCCCACGTTCTTGACACCCATTGGTGCCATCCTTGAAAAACACAATTTTTCGTGCTGCTAGCTGCTGCACTGCTGCCGTTGCGCGTACTGCTGCTGCGTCTGCTTGCGTCTGCTGCTGCCTACTGATGCTTGCTGCTGCCTGCTGCTGCCTGCGGCGGCCTGCTGCCTGCTGCTGGTGCTGCTGCTGGTGGCTGCTGCTGCTGTGGTGCTGCTGTCGTGCTGCTGCAATCAAACAGCTTCCAAAGCAAGAAACAACTGCTGCTGCTGCTGCTGCTTCTGCTGCTGCTGCCCTTTTGCGTGCTCTTGCCCATGTTCTTGACACCCATTGGTGCCATATA